GAAAGTTAGACGAATTTTAGCACCTAATTAAAATTCAGTAAATTCACAGTTTGGTCGGTGAACGAGTAACTTGAAACTTGAGTAACCTATGAAGCATTTTCTTAATAAGTCACACGTTAGACCATCTCTGCCTGCAAAAGTGCTCGTGTGGCTAAGCTTCCCAAAATACGGTCATAGTTTGCTAGAGGTAGGAACCCTTACAGCATCGACGTCCAGGGTGAACATGGACGGGTTATTGTTCACCAACATACCACTCACTGAGACAATAAACTATGTTTGTGACTTGATTGAGTGCAACGATAAAGATATTGGAATTCTCATCTCGGATTTTAAGGAACTCCTGCTCCTTTGTACTTACAATGTTCAGTTTACTTTCAACAATCAAATTTATCGACAGAAGGACGGGGTCACGATGGGGTCTGCTCTAGGTCTTATATTGGCAGATTTTTCCATGACCAAGCTAGAGACTCAAAAATTAGACGCACTCATTGGACGGTTAACATTATATCGTCGCTACCTGGACGGCATTTTCGTACTTTCCGACGAAACCATCAGCCCAACATACGTACTCAGCAGTTTTAATTCAGTACATTCTAACATCAAGGTTACTATCAATTCAGAACAGAACGAACAGTTAAGTTTCTTCAATGTCAATGCTAAAAAGAAGACTGACGGGACCATACAACGCAAGGTCCACAGAAAGCAAACGTTGAAAGGTCAATATATTCACTTTGATAGCTTCGTTCCGTTGCAACAAAAAGGCAACCTTATTAGATACCTGACTGAGAGAGCAATGAAGATATGCTCGCCCGACTGCTTAGAAGAGGAACTAAAGTTCTTGGGACGCACAGTCCTACAGAACGGATATCCTGAAAGGTTCGTACTCAAGACTATGGAAGCAGTTAAGCCCAAACCTACACAATGTTATTTTAGGAAGAAGTCCGTATACATGAGGCTTCCATTCGGAGGTGACTCGGTTGCTGAACTAATCACCAGAAGGCTTAGAAGCTCCGTTGATACGACATACTTGGCCGCTAATCTATGTTTGAGCTTCAACTTTAGCCCCAGTAGAAAAATTCTGCTTGAAGGACAAATTGCCACGTTCTACCACCAGCTTTTGTGTGTACTCATTTGTATGCTCGTGCGAGCATCATACGTTGGTCGTACGACAAGACATTTGTCGGACAAAATGCAAGAACGCAATCCCGTATCTCTGAGTGTTAGTGGGAAGAAACCAGATTGCGCGATTGCATCACATTTGGCCGAAATCAGTTATGCCATAGACAACGAGCAAGCCTTCACCGTCATACACCGGGTATCTCTGAACCGATCACGACTGGTACGATCCAGACTACTATCGACTGCAGAGGCGATTGGAATCCGACTGCTGGATCCGCAACTTTGCATCCAAAAGAAAATTCTGTGACCACTGAGCTTGAACTGACCCACGAAAAATCCGATCCCACAATTCTGTCTGACATTGATGTCACTTACCTGATTCCGTGACCCATTGACCTATCCCTCATCCAAACCCCCTCCTTTGATTTCTATCTCTCTAAGGTGTATGTAGCCCCGATTTTAACCTTTTCCACATGATTTCTGCTACCATATAAATTTGTGATGTATTAGCCAAGAGGAACAACCACAGAAATCAAGTTTTGTTCACTACCTTCTTCGTTCTCATATCTCTGCAAACCCTCACAAAACAAATAAATCAAGCTTCACCATCCAGGTTTGACTTCATCTATAGTAGACCATACAAGAAAGTCTGTACAGGTCTACGTGGGCTTCTACCTTTACTCAAAATCATTCCACCAGGATGATGTTATTCACAACAGAATTTATCTCGAAAGAACATTTCTTGTCATTGTGTACTTTGGATGTGACATGTGTAGAAATTAGTGCGTACACCGCACAGTAGTATACAACCAAATTTGTCTCTGTGTCTTTGCTGCGCTCGTCAACCGATTCGGGGCAGAGCGTCAACGTTCACTCTGTGACCCATCAGAAATTCTTCTTCAACTTCACACCTATTTGTTGAACACCTGTCTAGATGTTTGAAAAAGTCATGATCCTCTTATTTTCTTGCACACAACTGCAAGTTGGTTCGTGTTGATTCGTGTATCCACCCTCAGTTTCGCCTGAGTTACCCATAGTCGCGCCCGCGGTGTGATTACCAAGTAATGATTGCCGTCGGGCCGCACGTAGTCTTGAGGCCCGTCGGAGATCTGCAGCTGAACACCAGTAAATAAATGTCTCAAACCTAAAAAAATTCCTTATTTATCAATAAAGTGTGCAGCATTTGTTGATCTTATTTTGTTTCACTTAATTGCTCAGATTTTTTCTCGATGCATTTTGAACCTCCATTATGCATTAATTGCAATGGTCTGCTTCAGTAGGACCAGAGGTCCAGCTTGAGAATGTATTCCTTAACGTAATGGGCTATACCGGCAAAATAACCAGTGGAGTCATCCTAGATAATTGAATTTTCAGAGGTGAGGTGGAACTGTAGTATTCCTGACAGCACTCATGCACCATATCTGTTGAATGGTTAGCCGTATCCTGCAAGGAAAAGAACGATCATTACTCGTTTTTGGAAAGCATTGGGAGTTTTCGATTAGTCCAAACGTCTGGGCCCTTACAAATGTGCGACCCGTGTGCTAATGATTAATCAGTATCAATAGCTTTCAGAAACACCATCTCTGAAGTAGCCGAAACCGGAGGTATACTACCCACCAAACTACACAGCTCTTGTGTGCAAGGGAAAATTGTGTGTTGTTTTAAAGTAACCACTTTTCATCTCTTCAATTGAATTCACCAGAAATTCAGGAGCTCTTAGTTTATCCTTGTTCATCAGACTTAATCTTACCGGCAATGAAACTAAGGAGTGAAACATCAAGTGGCTAACATCCTGTTCACTCTTGTCATCCATGTGTTGTATACGTGATTACAGCGCCAAAATGTTGGGTCAGACAGATTAGATTGCGTGTACGGCCGCAATAGAAGTGGGTGGATTTCAATACGAATTGCACATGATTATTGCATGTGTGGTTACATTTTTCCCGAAAATAATTCCTGACTGGATTATTGTTCAGTAAATTGGACATGCCAGTGATTAGACTGGTCATAACGCTATCAGTGGTCGAATTAAAGCCATGTAATTGTTCTAGCTGTGAAGTCTAATGATATTTGCAATGTTCCTGTTTCGTCCACACTCTGGCCAGTTATCCAGACACGTCCGGTGATCGTGCAACGGAGTGAGAGTTCAAGTGGTCTTCCTGGAATTTAAAAAGGCCTATTGGCCAGTTGCACCAGATTCAGTCTATTTAAGATCCATTATCGAAATACTGTTCGGGGTTTGCCGTGTAGTGTGCGAAGAGCTATTGAAACAGCTTCACCTCAGTTCAGTGTGAAGCGCATACCTTTTCGCGCCAAGCGTTCGAGTTACTTCATCACAAAAATTTGAGGTTAAATTGTAATTTCAAGCACGCAGAATTACTTAAGCACTAAGTAGCTTGTTGAGGGATAGCGAAATGCTAGCTGAAGTGTCTGGCAAACTAATCGGGTTGCTCAAACGTGGGCATTTTCGCCTGTTTAGGCGGAACATATCGGTTGTCATCTGTGTGCTCTGTGGAAATATAGTAATGTGCTAGACCTGAATTTCACGGGTTCCAGATTTAAAACCGGAAATGGCTACAGATATACTGTTTTGATGAGCTCTAATCAGGGCGAATTTCCCGTCCTTACTTTGATGTATACTCAACAGAATAAATACGTTAGGTCTCGAGGAAAATTACTGGATTGTTTGAATACAAATCTCATAAGTCCGGCAACCTAAGATTAAATGGTCCAGTCCATAAGCACCCCATCTGCACTCAACAGATACACTGCTCACAGATTCAGTAAAGGATTGGATTCTCTGACACCATGACTGTGTGACTACTGAGTCACTTTTTGGATGTCAGCAGAGTAGTTTAGATGATCCAGCCAAGAAACGGCAGACGAATCCACTTTACCGTTGATGGATAAGACCATACTGCTTGAATGGATGCTACAATGCAGTCTAATTTACAGCAACATAGCTTGCTTGTTTGCGAGATTCTGAGACTATATTTCTCGACAGATTTCCGAGTTAACATGAAATTTACAGCATACTCTGTATTATTTTAAGATCAAGGTTGGTTGAATTCTTAAATAACCGAAAAAGAAGTATATAGGATGCGGAAGTTCCTTTTATTTACCCCTGGTGATCGACCACGTTCATCAGGCACCCATATTTAATCCGTGTGTGAAATAAAGAAGAAACCTCAAAAGGACAGAAGGTAAAACCTCATCAAATCACGGACGCATTAAAGTGATGTTCACTGGTGTTTTAAATTACACTCTGGAATGTCGCACTGATGGAGTCTGATGTTAACACTATTAGGTAAGAGAAGAGATAATTCACCGTGACAGGTATCCGAATAGACTGATTTTGGGCTTATGTAGACGAATAGATGAAACGTTTGACCGCTATTTTGTCCAGCTGTATTACAAGCTCCGCTGGCCTCTTTGACTTGAATGCGGTCCTCGTCTTCCACGCTATTCACACATTTCGTTCCAGATATCAAACCAGAAGCCACTGGGTTATACTAAGCCTAACCTTCCCAGCTGATTTGTGTAGAAGAACGTAATGACAAGGTACTCTTTTTTCTGCAATCAGCAATCATAAAATTGCTACTTTACCACAGCAGCGTTACACACTAAATTATACATCTAACGAAACAGTGCCATTTTCCAAAATGTGTGACTTCTAGGTTTCTTCGAACACAAACAAGGGTGAAGACATAAGGTTGACGGAAACCCGGGGACTGCGCCTACCTGATGAGCCCCAAAAAGGGCGAAACCGGTCGTGGGCTGTCGACGGATTTTCAGCAACCTTATGAATAGTACATTACAAAGATATAAGGGTGAAAACCCTTTATACTACCTATGGACATAATGAAAGAACTAATTTACAGCCCAGTCACCCGAAGCTTTTCGCTTTGATTATGCCATTCAAGGAAGACGAAGGAGCCGGGTAAGTGGTTGCCACAAACAGTGCACATCTACAGCTCAAGCATTCTCAAATAAACTAAACCTAAAATTATATCTGTTACAGCCAAAAGACTATTATTTACTCTACACTAGATAGATTCAATTTTGCTACTCTGGTCTGGAGTGAAAACTCTACAATTCGGTTCACCATCATACGATAATTTGAAGAATCCTGCAAAAAGTAGCTACAAATGTGATAAAAATCCCAACAGAGACATCTGGATGCAACTGAGTTAAAAAAATCCAGCAATATAGCATAAAGGGAACTACACTTGGTTTAAGTGATTTCGGGGGCAAACATTGGCTTTTAAATCGGCCTTCACATACTCTGCGAGAAGATTGAGACTGAGCTCGTTCGTTTTTAAATTTGTAGGTCTCACGAGCACTTGGTTCGCCTACCGAGCCTGAATTCTTTGTTCCAATGGAGACCGTTTCAATTTCGCGCGAATTCTTCGGATCAAAAAAAGGGACACCAAACTACTCCATATACCAAAGAAATGGCCCATCGATCAGTGTCTATGCAATATTTGTCCGACACACAACCTCAGACTCCCCATCTTATCCACACACGCCGGGGCCGGTTAAAAGCTAACATTAGTCTTCGCCTCAAATCCTTCCTTCGAGGTTCGGAGCTACGAGTTAGATCAGTGGAATCTTTGCTTAAACAAAAGCAGCAGCATACACATCAGGAAACTGAGGCATCCAACGTCGTGTTGGCTTCAACACCAGGCACACTGAGTTCACAGAATTTGGCGGGTTCAGCGGATTCAAGTGGATGTGATTCATTTCAACAGCATGAAAATTCACGGTATTATCTCGGAGGGAATCTACATGCTGGTCGACCTACTGCCATCCGTAATTCCTGCTCAAGTTTTTGTGATTTTTCACACCTCAGTCCAGGAACTTCTGGGAGCTTGTGGAATTCACAACAGTAAGTTTCATCGTCGTCTAACTTCACGTCTCACTACTTTGTCGGTTAAATTTTCTCAGATTCTTACTGCGCACATGTTGACAACAGAAGTTATTGGAACAAAGATGAAACATGTGTCCATTGGTTCTGGCTAGCTAATGCTCGTCTTCGTTTTTGGCTTTTTTACTATTTCTTGTAGCGTGGCCATAGAACCTATCGACATTTCGTATCATTTTAGATTAACAGCCAATTTAACTTGTTTGCACCATTTCTTCATTAGTTAAGGCAGAGGATCCACTGCTCTTAGCAGTACGTTCTACGTAAACGTTTTTGTCTAACTGGCGCGGATGCTTCACCATAAAAATATCAAAAAACAAGTTTTCCTGCTCGTCAGTGAACATAATGTAACCAGATCTAGTTTATGGTTGATAGGCTTACTTCCACGAGAACAGGAACAAGCCAATCTGTGGAATTTTTATCGACACACATTGAAAGCGGATTATGCTAATTAGTTCACACACATCCATTCACTCATCTTTCAGATTAAACGAGGCAAACACTGCGGAATTACAGCATTGACTAATTATGAACTACACTGGGGTCAAGTTTGGAAGTGACAAACTGACACAATCAAAACCACACTTTTACTGCTATCTCCCTAAACCTGGTATGGTATCTGATGATCCTTAAAATCAGCCTCGCATATTTTTTCAGGTAGTGCATTTCAACTGTACGAAACCAGCGTTAACACACCCGATGTTACATTTTACTGTTGCCTCCATTGCAATTCTGTATCTTAATTGCCTATAGAAGAGATGTGCAGATGCATAGATCAGCTTAAACTGATAAATATGGTAAGACAGAATATCCTAGCTACTCGTTTACTCGGGCGAATGAGCAATTGAGAAATTATCAGTGTTTAACTAACTGACTACAAACGCTGACCAAGGACTTCACGACTTCCGTGCCATGTGATCGAAAATGTAGTAAGATGTTATATTATGCATTTCGTAAAATCAAGACAGACGGCCTTGTGAGCAACTTTAATATTCCCTGAATCTTGTCAGGTGGGCATAAGGGAAACGGAAAAATCACCACTTGATTACAGTCTTAGGAAAAACCGTTTTTCAGTCGATTAGGACCAGTATAGATATTCGGTTCAATTTACCAGAGAATTTTGCTTATCTTGTTTCCTTCTTCAATTTAGGTTATTCTCACCCCTGGATAAGGACGCTGAAGAACAAGAGCAAGACTTTATCAGAAAAGAGCCACCAGCTGGTGTGAAAATTGTTGCAAAGCGTTTACTTGGCCATGGAGCAAACGGGATTTGCCACGAAGTTTCCATTCAACCCTTAGGCCATCTGGCTAATCAGGGTTCATCAGGACTCCCTGAGCGAGCTGCCTTAAAGGTGTGCGGTCTATTCATTTGTTTGACATACTCTTCACTGTTTACGGCTCGTTGGCTTGCTCATTGAAGCCAGTCGACTTTCGAAGAATGGTCATTCATGTTATTCGTCCAAATAAAAGCAGCAAAGTTAGGGATGTGAGGCTGTTTAAAAGTAATACTATCTCCAAAGGACAACCCTTCGCAAACTGTTACTCAAAGATTGAGATGTAGAGAAGCGGTGGTCTTCCCTGGACAATACAGCAGTGGCCTTCTTGATTGTTTTAGAGACTTGCTGCCGAAGATGCCGCCTTCGTTAAGAAGTCCGTAACTGGCATGCTGCTCGACTGCAAATAAAACACACAACCTTTTCAACTACTATGTTTTGTCCCCAGAAGCTGGACTTCGGTGTAGAGAAGGGAACAAGAATAATATGGAAACAGTACTGTCAAACACTTATGTAGTGTACTGATAGGAGGTACAAATGAGTACATCAACTTCCCTGCATACGCAACTAATTTTCCTTAGACGTTACTTTATTACCCCCAGATTGATTTTTCTCACTGGTTAGTCCAAAACGGCTACAACCAAGTGAAGAAGAATGAATATATGTGACGTAAATTTCAATTTTTTTCATTTAAGCTGGATATCCATGCACCGTTTCTCAAGTTAACTGATCATAGAGGCTTAAATATTTAGCTTCTCTAGTAAGTAGCTGTGAATTTTTCTTACATATGCGTTTTCAGGAAGATCTCGAAATTTGGCTCGTATAGAATGTATCACCCTACAAAGCAAGAAACGAAATTTAGGGCAAAAAAGCACTCTACCAGATGCATCTGGAAAATTTCACCAACTTACTGCATGGCTCTTTGCGTCATGATTTCTCGACGATGCTGCATGCAACCAAAATTGGAGGAGCATAAGAGAGCAGTTTGTCCTCTGTTAGAGCTCTTCAGCTCGAAGGGTACTAAGGCCTGAACCAAGAACTGTTGCTTCATTACTACAAATGGATGACATTAAAACTTCCAAATTGTTCACGGGATCTCAGTACTTTTGTCAAATTTTCGTGACATTTATTCCACCTTGTACAAAAGCTAGTTTTGCACACGCAGTCTAATTTTCGTCACCACCGGTTGAAAGATTTGTGTATTGCGTGCAATGGTTGAATGTAATTCTTATCTGGGCCCTGGTCTTAGGAATCATATTTTGTACGTAGGCTGGGATGCTTTCATGACGTCCGGACCCAGACAGAAGGACGATTATGGTTCTCGAACAAATACTCTGGTTCAAAAGCCTGTCCGCAAGGCAGCGGTGGTTGGCGGGAAATGCCAGTGTATTACACTTTTTGAGGACAAGTCGCCACATATTTTCTAACCTACAACGTGGAGGACCAGGAGAGTGTATTGGCCAGATCTCTAACTATTGACCAAGTTGCAAGTGTCACATGGACACCCTCCAGGATAGCTCAATGGATCACGAATGCATACAGACGATCACATCCCGCTCAGGTCCAGTATCTTCGTGACGGAATATGCCTTGAGAATAACCATAAAAGTTACTACACCAGCGCTTTACTGCAGCCTACTCACTACTGCTCAGCTTTGGTATGACCAAACTCTTCTTGCTTTTGTACTCCAGACAGTGTACCCTGCAGATATTCTGCAGTGTATCAGAGTGGCCTACTAAGATCAAATTTCAGATGAGATGCATGGATCGCTTTTGATACGAGGGCTCTTGCATATGTACATAGGTCATTACAAGGTGCTTAGCCCCAGAATTTGATGTTTAGATACTCCGATGCGATTCAGACTTCGGCGCATCGACGTATGTGCGGCGTATGACCAGTAGATGAGGAAGTCTGAAAAATGTATACATCTTTGTAGGTGAGTTTGAGTGATAACACAGATATCGGGGAGAATGTTTTCTAATTTGAAAAACAATCACACTGGAATATCACTTGAGTGAATGCATTCAAGCTGTTCCCCGCTGCCTGTTACACACTGTGTGGCAACACAGTAATGATGATATCTTGAGGTTGTTGGTGGATAAAGTGATTGAATTTATCACTCTATAGAACTCACGTCAGCCTCGCAGAAAGCATCCCTTTGTTCGTTTTTGGTGACAGTTCTTGTGTACGAAGGGTTCTAATACCCACATCGCTAGATCTATTTCCTCATCATGCGAAATTTTCGTTTTGATGACAAAAATATACTTTAAGTACTCATATCACTGCACCTAGCTTGTCCCTTTTTGTACGGTATCCGAATTTTTCGCAGCTAACGGCCGATCATTTGCCTGACTTCTTTGTGGCTATTGCACTGCTGCCCAGTCAACCGAACAAATTTGGCCTACACATATTGCCTATACATATGTACACGGTAATTCTGTTTAGTTTAACAATAGCTGTTTGCATTTCTCTACTTTCCATTCAGAAATAGGCCGCTTTTATCAAAGTAATCAGTCACGATGTCTTCAGAATCTGTCATACATTTCACTCCCTTGCCTTTGCGAAAACGATGAGGCTTGTGTTCGGTGCTGTAAAAACTAGGCAGAGGGAACAGATCTATTAAACCAGTATATTTTTAATCTACTTTTGGCCTCTGTAGAGGATGTAGCAGAGTTTCATTCTTAACACATCTTTTTTCTAAGAAACCAAAAGACTGGATTTACTGGGAGCTGCAGAAAAATAATAAGTGCACCAAGCGACACCAAATGATGATCCTTCTTTCAGCATTCCAGAGAGTAGGTTCGAAAATATTGCTTTTTAGTGACTGAGGTTGAGCCTGAATTACGTTCGTTGGTTTGAAGGACTTGATAAAAGAATGCTCACAATCCGTTTGAGTTCCTCATGTACTTTCATAATATGTTTGGCTTGTCCGTATATCTTGCTGCTTTTAACATCTGTGCTCACTCTGATTAAACGGGCCTGATTGGATTGACCTGCATGAGTTACTCCCACAGCACTATTGTCAAGCTACTATGGTACAGGTGTTAACTTCACAAACAGTCACCCATCTCTTTGAACTTTATGGTCGACCAATTGTTACCATGCTAGCTTCCTTGTGTTTGGGATTCGTGAATAAAACCGACAGTTAGGCTGTAAGCACCGAGAGGCTAAGTGCGGTCAGTTTAAGAACAGTCGAGAAAGCGTTTATCTTATTCTCTAGAAGACAACTTCAGAAGAGACCACCGTCAGTTGCGACTGCCGATGTTCTGTTCCGTTATGTTATGTAGTCGGATGAATGAAACTGCATTTCCGTGCCCGTCTTTTGCGCCGCTCTAACGCAGTAGTAATCATAATTATGATTTTTCATCACAATATGATGAAGCAGTGGTTTGATTCTTGATGTGTTACGATAAATTGCTTTCATAAAAAAGTTCCCCTATTTGGGGTCAATCAGTGATCAACTTGATTGATGATTCGTCCACCTAACTCGGCAATTTGGTTGAGAACGTTTCATCACCAGTGGTGGAGGTGCCATCAATGCATTCCTGGGACACAAAGTAGAGCGTAGTGGGCGCTAGAGATTGTGCACTGACTAGTAGTGTGTGTGTGTGTTGATATATGTTTTGCTGGCTGACACTTCACTTACGATTGGGTGATTGTGCTGCTGTATTGGTTGGTGCATTGGCTGATGTTCTGATTGCTCTCACGATCCCATCTATTGGTCATTCTGGAAGCTATACCTGACCTTGACCCATCCGGGTTTGAAGTCATGACCCTTCAGCCCATCATTCCATCAACCGATACGTTGATGCATCCAGAAATTTCTTTCCTTGTCGTGTATTTCCGCGTGCCAAAATTTACATGTTTCTCGAATTGAGATTGCGGTTTTGTTGATCTTTAGGCGTGGCTATCAATGATAGAAGGCTATGCCTTCCGATAGCCCCATCATGTTCCCTCTTTCGTGTTCACAGTCTCCTTCATGCTTGCTCAACATAAAACTTGACAGTTTCTACCGTTGGCTTGATGCTCCAGTTTTTTGTTCTTGGTTCTATGAGCGATGCCCTTCATCCTTGATAAAAGTCTGAAAAGTGCCTTTCGGTTTATAGGTGACCAGTGTTTCTTTTTAGTAAAATAATCTGGCTGAAATTTCGAGGATACTGTTGATGTACGGGTAGAAATACCCGTCTGAATGTGTGTTCGTGTTGTTTCCGCCGCTCCTGCTGCTGCCGGTGAGTTATCTATCTTTAAACTTCAACTGACGAAATTTCCTGGTTGTACACTTTTGGACTACTCTGAATAGATGGTTATCATCCATGTTTCTCAGTTCTTTAACCCGCTTTTTTAAATAGAGTTCGGATGCCACCCTGATTGTGGCGGATTGGGTGGTTGTATTTGTAGTTCTCTATTTGGTTTTTCAAGGGCCTGATTAGCTTTCCTGCTCACTCGAACTTCCAGAAATGGCAGCCAGCTTCCGTTTTCCACCTCACTCGCAAAGCAACTTAATCTATAGTCATCATCGTTTCTAACAGAATAGCCAAAGCTAACCGGCGTATCTTGACTGATCGTCAGACTTTTCACGAACTTTCGACGGTTAGTAAGAAATTATTGTCTTCAGACATCTTAGATTTATTTAAATTGCAGACACGTTTTTCATTTCCTTTACATATTTACGCCTCCAGGAATTTGCAGACGGTGACAAAGTCCTTGTTTTAAAGACTGATTTCATTACACGACTACACCCGTTAAAGTTTCGTGTGAAATTATTGTCCTGGCAGGACCATCAGGTTGCACAAAGATCATTCATATTTGCTACCCGAGTTTTGTCTAGACAGACCAAGCGACAGCAGCGGTAACCTGTGATTTTCCATTAAATCTGGAGTAAGAGTCAGGGTTTAAGCTATGTCTGAATGCTTTCCCAGGCTATCAATTCAGAAGAATTTTGCGCACTGGTTTGTTAGCTGTAACTCAGTGCTCATGATCTTCGTCCAGTGTGGGATACAATAGGGAGGAAGCAGTACCTTTTTGAGAAACTGGCCTGTTTTCTAACCGGTTCAGCTTGGCCTAGTCACAAAGTTGGGAATTGCATTAAATGTACTTGCGGAAAAATTCAATATGTTCTTAGCTGTCCATTGCCAAAGAAGGAA